TTCAGACAGCCCCCCCGCTGGCAGATCCATAGCCAGCTATAGGGGGCCATGTGATTCCTCTTTTAGAGCGATCACATGGCCCCCGGGGGCCTCATTCACCTTGGGAGGGCTGCCTGGGCGGTCAGGCAGCCCTCCAGAAGAGGATCGCAGCGGAGGTAAGTAGCTGCGATCCCCTGGGGCTGAAAGCCATTATGGTGTTCTATGCCGCCGCAACGGCTTTAAAGCACTTTAAAGCCGCGACGGCATAGAACGCTGTAACGGCGTTGTGGTTAAAAAAAGTGTAAAAAGGGATGTGACTTAATCACCATTCTGTTCAACCTATTATTAAAGCCATACGTTATAATAATGGTTATACTTGGGAGGTTAAATAGAATTTACACATATATTTAAATTAATACTGTAACGGATCACCTGGCACCCCGACTGGGTACCTCCGTTAAAGGATGCTCCTAGCGCTTCCTGAGGACTCCAAGCACTGCAGCAGACACCACAACCACTGAACCGGAGAAGCATATGAATCCTCTCAAGCATATGAATGCTGTAGACAGTTGAATAGGAACCATACGAATAGGTTTACTCTCCTAGCAATCAAACTGGAACAGCATACAATAAATCCTTCCCCCAATAATGAGACAACACTTCACTTTGAGGGTTAAAACAGGAACTCCATGTACTGTCACATACAGTCTCTTTTATTCCCAATCCACAAACATAGTACAGCCCACAGGGCGTTACAAAACAGCCAATCAATCCATACAATACACCCAGACACTCCCATACAAAATCCTCCAGAGAAATACAGTTTCATAAAACACATCACAGGGACCCCAAAACATGCAATAACCCCATAAAAAGTATATCCTTGGAACTGGGGGATCTGGGTGAACCACATATCCAAAATTCACCCAGATCCGTTCAGTACTTTGGAAAATACAGTTTAATGCAGATTCTGCAGAACATATACGGGCTAAATAAAAAACAATCACTGTATAATGTGTCCCCTGCTGTATAGTCCAAAACCACCGCACGATGTCTCTGTGCAACAAATACTGGCGAGATGGCACCGTGTTGAAAAGTCCACACAGCGTCTGTGAGTTAAAATGGCCGCCATCCATTGTTCTCACCATGTGCTTCTGACACAGGAAATGGTGGCCACCCAGTAACTCCACAGTATGTCCCCAGATGGTTCTTAAAAGGGCCAGCAACAGCACAACACAAATCCATTATGCCCAAATCATGTCTTTAAAGGGCAATACATCCCAGGGGCCATAGTCACATGGCAGGAGGCTGGCAACCAGGCTTCTCCAGTGCATAGTGGCGAGGTTGGTTCCGCCACAAATACATTCAGAAAGAGGTGTATAAAAGAAGTCTGAAATCATGTAATTTGCAACTAATACAAAAATGTAATAATAATATTACAAAGATAAAATTATACAACATATTAGATATTTTAAAGCTCATTAAATATTTTTAAGAAGGCTGAAATTTGACTCCAAATTATGAGTGGATGATTGGCATATGAAACAAATTTAATATATTTATTAGTTATAGTCTGAATGCATTGTATGCCCTAAGAAAAACCCTAGAAAATTAGAAGTAAACATAACCTTTGTTTGAAAACTGTATTAACATGGGGGTTAGGGGAAGTAGCCTTTCACTCTGTAACAGACAGAACATACAACCACAATGTATCCTGAGTTGCCGGAAAGTCATCATATGTACATTGACTGCTACTATCACAGTTACTATTTACTGTGTCAGCATGATCTAAATACACAATACAAGATATTTTATTTCTATGTTAATGCATAGATGCATTATCCAATTTTAGAGACTCATCTCTGTCTATCAAGATTAGGTTTAATGGAAAATCATTTTCCCCATTCAGAACGTTTCTCGTCTGTGTGAGTTCTCTGATGACTGACAACAGTTGAATGTTGCCAAAAACATTTTCCACATTCAGTACATGAGAAAGGTCTCTCTCCTGTATGAGTTCTTTGATGACAGACAAACAATCAGGGACGTATTAGCCGCAAGGCAAACAAGGCATTTGCCTTGGGCGGCATTTTTCAGGGGGTGGCAAAAAAAAGCCGCCCTCAAATGCGCAGGACAAATGCCTAGTTAGCCTTGTGGCTAACAGACATGCTGGGCTGGTGAGCAGCGCTGGCTGATGGTCGGGCGGGCG